GATTTTTTCTTCGTTTTAGTACTATAATTTATTCTTATACTAAAAATATATAATTTTTCATATTATTTAAATATATAAAATACTTGATAATATTGTTACGATTAGCGGTTTCGATTCTGTTCCACCGGATTGCTATTATCGGTTTGAAAGTTGAAAGTATTTTGTCTCTGCGACGACATATATTGAACAAGCAACAATCGAGAGTTTTGGATAAAGAAAACTTGAACTGTAACTGACGTTTTTGCGCGTCAAACCATTTCATACTGTTGCGGTTTTCTTTGTTATTAATACGTGTTCATTTTGTAATAAAGCTTTCTCATTCTTAAAAGACCGGAGTTATTTTTTCGAGAGTTATCCGTTCGTGATCCGCGATGCGAATGAAATATTCAGCTAATATATGCGAGTGTAACAATATTTTTGAGGCTTCTATGGGTATTTACTTCTACGATGCTAGAAGGTTTATATGTCATAGTATTCGTATCAGTATCAGTGCGGGTTATCATCATGTCATGGTATCCGTATCAGTATCAGTGCGTTCTTCGCCTAATAAAAGGAACGACAAAATTCACGAAACATTGACATCAGCAATGGACCATGACATGACGATAACCTGCAAATCCTCTAGCAAAACATATTTTGTTTTAAAATTTTCATATAATTTTATAAAATTACACTGTCCGACAAAGGATTATGTTGAAACCGATTTTTGCCCAAAAAGGTATAAGTAAAAGGAATAGTGTTTTTTTATATTTTTTTTTTATATATTTTAACTTCCTGAATACGAATGTTAATAAAAATTCGGGATCAATAAGGAATACCTTAAAAATTAAGCATGAACATGATATATTTAAAAAAATTTCAACATTCTTGTTTACTTTTCAGGGTGTTGCCTAGATGTCACGAACTTTTTAATAATTTCATCATATTCAGGAGGTCGAAATCTACAAAAAATATTTCTTACATCTTTTTGGATCTAAAAAAAATCTACTCTTTTTTTGAAGAATAAAAACGGATTTTTGCCCAAAAGAATATAAATTCGCTATTCCGCGTAGTTTCACCTTTTTGAGCAGAAATCGGCGCCTTTTTAACATCCTCCTTTGAACTTTTTTACATGATATGAATAGTCATTTTTTATGTATTCTTACTTGTTGAATACATGAATTCTTTGGCAAATTGAGAAGATCCTAGATGCGCACATTCCAATTGAATACATACATTCGCATCGGCTAATGGCTAGTAATTTTCCAGTTATTCGTACATACGATCAATGAGAACGGAAGAATCCCGATTAATCACATTATGATTGAACACAGCCACTCACAGCAGCCGATTCCTACAGGTTTCGCTTCTGTTTAAATGCTGCTGAGTGGCTGGTGTCGTAACGTGTGTACTCGATGCTCACCCGATAAGAACATATCTCGTTTTAACAATTTGGCGTAGGAGTCCCAATTGGACACACTTAGCAATTGTATCCAATTGGGACTCTTATGCCAAATTTGAGATCTGTTTTTTATTGAACTCTAAATTGGTACACACTACAATAAATTACAAAACAAATTAATATATTTTAGCATATTCAATGTGTTTGGAAAATTACTTTACAATTTACTTATGAATTATTTTTTATTATAGAAATTGAGAACAATAAGTTTCGATATTTTATTTTTTATATTATTTTAATCATTTGCTTCAATTTATATTACTGTTTGTACTTAATTTCTATAATAAACACTTAAGGTAAGCTAAAATGTAACTTATAAAGTAACTTTCCCAATCTTAATTCGATTTACTCACTTGAGTAAATTTTTTTTAGCTGCATTTCTTGTACAGTTTAGCTCTTTTTTTTTGTAGCTAAAAAGAACAGACTATAATTATAATAAATATAATAATTAT